ATAATTACCACAAAGTTAATTAGATTTAATTTCAAATCCCCTATGCATTCTTCTTTCCCTGACAAAATTTAACACCAAGCAAGTCCCTTCCAAAGTCTCCCATTAGGACTTTTATATACCCACCAGGATTGCTATAAAATAAAATAAATTTAATTTCGAATGCAATTTTAGTAAATCTAATTTTTACGACATTTCAAAATAAATGACGTGCCATCACTGAAGCTTCTGCTCGCGAATCAACCGATCGGATCACTAGACTCGTCACGTTGGCCAGCTGTTACCGCGGCATCCTCAACGACGCCCTCGAAGATCGATCGGGGACCGGCATAGGGGGCGTCGCGATAGATTAGCTGCGTCGCTGCGGTGTATTGAAAATATCGTAATTTTTGCGGAGCCGGTCGCCATAAATTACACGGCGGCAGCGCCGCCGAGGCCGCGTAAATACACCGATCGATCGATCGAACTTTTCAACCCGTCGCCGCCTATGATGCATACTAGATAACTAAGTAGAGTAGGTCAACGATAAGCCCGACCGCCGTCGGTATCTATCAGCCGTCGACGGAGTTTCTCGGCCCCCTATCGAATCGTTTTCTCGCGAGCCTCTCGGCGGCCATTATTTTCCCGCAGCCTTTAAATAAACCTCGACTTATCGGGGACTTCCGTGTCTCGTGTCGCGGCCGGAAGGGAAGCAGGCTTTCCTCCATAGGCCTCCGGGTCTTCGGGCCACTTTCAACGTCCTACCCTAATACTCTTCGCGTGACACCGGTCGCTGGTGGCCCAGGGATGGCTAATGGGGCACCTTTGGGATGTAGCGTCGGTACGTAGTATGCTACGTAATCTTGTTTTCGATTATTCAGGGACCAGTGTGTGGTTAATTCGAACAACATGGCGCTGGAATTACGAACGCTGCTACTTGTGGAATTACAATTTCCGATATTACAGAATGATAATGGTAATTGAATTTAGGTCATTTCTTTTAATTCTTTTTTACTCGTGAGTTATTTATATGGGGGTGAGATTTCTAATTTTCTTCAATCGAATATTCAGATTTTCTTGTGTCACGTAGTGTTTATTTGTTGTAGAAGAGGGGGGTTAACGATGGTGAGCAGGGACTAGATGTGCCACTTGTCTAGGGTTCATGGTGTCCTACCATGGGGAGGAAAATATATTCGGACCTTTTCTCTTTCTTTATATTTTCAAGCTATACAGGCAACAACAAGATCTTTCTATCTAGTTATTTTATATATGTACTTATGTTCTCGTTATACTAATCATATTATTAATAAATATATCTTTATTATAAAGAGATCTCAACGATCTTTTATATTGCACGTGGTATATACCGTGAGTGATATACGAGCAATCTCTTGTCAATCAGAATTTAGTGGCAGTAAATTAGCAATTACCAGTGAATGGTAATTAATAGACTAACGAAGCACCAAAGTGCCAATGGCCGATTTTATGCCGAAATTTGGCACACTATAGGCACGGAATTTGGTGTGTTTTATTTTATTCGCCATCGTTCACGTTTAAGAGACTGTAATACATGCAGACTGCAGGGGAGCTTGGGACTCGATGACTGCAACGCCATTTTGGCACTAATCAGGGTCGACGATTAATACGGTAATTTATGGTAGCACTGTATCTTTCGAACCGAGTATACATGATCGATAAATCTCGGATGATATACGAGGAAGGAGCGTGGAGCAACGGTGGCTGTTAATTAGAAAAATAGGTTAAGTGGTTTTAGGATCTAAGAGGTTTTTAGGCTAGATGACTGATTACATTGATTAAAATTTCGAAAAACGGGAAAAGAAGGTGGATTAATTAGAATTGTTTACTTGGAAAATTCAGGAATATCGTATTCGTTGCTCGCAAATATTTGTTCGTATACTTCGTTTCGCTTTGCTTAAAAATGCGACGAATTTACCAAGAAAAACCTCTCTTCTGCGCGGTAGTCACGCACGAATGATAATAAACCTCTCATCTTTTAATGAAACACTGTTTCAAATGGTAATTGAATGTCCGCGTATTTTTATTTACCTGTCCGTAAAAACCGTAATAAATTTAAAGTACGAATTTCGTATGCGAATAATAAAAACACTTATTACTCCTTTCATAAAATATTTACTTCATACTGGTAATTGCAGGAGCGTATCTCACAAATATTTGCATATTTTTAATCTTACCTAAGGATAAGATTTAAAACAGGATAAATTACCAAAATTTTCTAGCCAAAAAGAAAGGAAACCACGTTTCGATGCATATAAAATTGTTCTCGTACTTGGACAAAATATTTCCTCCATTGTACCACATCGCAATGACAAACATACCTTCGTCGACCGAATACAAGGGTCCATTACCAAGAACCCACCAAACTTCCTGCACTCAAAGCACCGTAGGACAACTTGGCCGACAATTTGCGAAAGTAACGTCCAGGCAAAAGAGAAACACAGGCTTACCAGAACCAATCGCCATCTTGGCGTTCGTGAACTTCGCGAGCAAAGTCCGCCTAGAGCCCTTGCAAGAATTACCAAAGCTATTCATCGACCGTCCTTAAAGGGAAGAACTCCTTTGATCCCGATCGGAAACGAACTACGAAATTCACCCCGTGTTTTCCAACCCTGATTACCTCCCCACTCGCAAACACCCAAATCTCTGCCAAAGAGGAGGAACAAAAGCACGTAGACGCGAGAGAACTAACGGGTTATTTTAAATTCCAGCTGGCCATCGTTATTAAATAACGACCAAGAGAAAGACGTAGGATTCCGGGGGAATAAATCCTCGAAAGCTTTTCGTTTCCGAGCGCTGCTCTTACGTTTCAGATATTCCGAGGAGAGGATCCATTCTCGCCAGGTTCGAGGAGACGTGCTGGAAATCCTCACGGGAAGACGCGCGGCGTCGGTGGCACCGCGACGTCGCTCCGTGTGGCATTTTGACAAAATAATTCATTCGTGGAGAACGGAAAGTAGGCTTCCGCGACTGCTCGGGAATTTTGCAACGACTGTGCTGAACGGAAGTGGAAGAACCGATGCCGGTACAGCGGATACGATACGTGGAGACGTTTGGGGATGAATAGGGAATTATGTCCCGCGAGCTGACTCGTTTTATTCGACGGTGATAGAACGCTCGTAAATACACTCGTGAAATAGTTTCGCTTCTGTTCGACGATTTTGAGGTTAGGTTTACGGAATATAAAATGGTGGATGTTACCCGGAAGGAGGACAGAGATTTTTGGAATTATGGAAGAGCTGATTTTGGATAAAATAAGAAGATTAATATGTGCTGTAAGAGGTTAGGTTTGCTGCATATATAAAATGGCTGATATTATTCGAAAACAGGACTGAGATTTTTCAAATTATGGAAGCTAATTTTGAATGGAATAGAAAAATTTGTATGTGCTGTAAGAGGTTAGGTTTGCAGGATATAAAATGGTGGATGTTACCCGGAAGGAGGACAGAGATTTTTGGAATTATGGAAGCTGATTTTGGATAAAATAAGAAGATTAATATGTGCTGTAAGAGGTTAGGTTTGCTACATATATAAAATGGCTGATATTATTCGAAAACAGGACTGAGATTTTTTAAATTATGGAAGTTAATTTTGAATGGAATAGAAAAATTTATATGTGCTGTAAGAGGTTAGGTTTGCTGAATATAAAATGGCAGATGTCATCCAAAAACAGGACCGAGATTTTTGGAATTATGAAATCTGAATTTGTGTATGCTGTAAGAGGTTATGTTCGTACACGCAACGAAAATAAAAATGTTACATTATTAATACTAAATTAAAAAGTTAAACAAAAATTTGTACAAAATAATTTCTCGTGTATTCCTGACTTTGGTCACGTTCAATAATTACTGGTACAATTAAAGCAGTTAAAAAATATATTTTCGGACAAGATGAATGGACCTGGATTGCATAAAATGTTTAAACAGAATCACAGAGGGAAGACAGATGAAATAGGTGAAAAATCAATTCTCTAATTGACTCGATCCATAAAGCAGAGGAAACCTAAACGAACTGGGCTCCGGCGAAATGAAAGTTTCATGCGATCCCTCGCGATTACAAAAGAATCATCGAATCAATCCCATGGGGGAACAGCAGACAGCACTTAACTCTCGTCCCCGGCTATGAATCTTTCACGAGCTCGTAAGCCTCGTGGTCCCGACGTTTGCTTCTAACCAGCATCTTTCTGCGTTTCATAAGTCAGCTTACTCCTCGACTCCATTTTAATTGTACGCGTATCTACTCTGGGGAAAATGACGAAGGAGCACATCGCGTCGCGAATAACGCGAATTGTCAAAGTTCAACCCTCTGACACATCGTCAACCTTCAAATAAATTTGAATAATTAAATACCGGACCGGTATATGAAAAATATAAAATTAATAGCAACGATGATTCAGAGGTTCCATATCTTTCGTCGTTAATCGCAAAGGAGCGTTAATCGTGCAAAAATATAAAGTTGAGAAAATATGCACGCGAATGCAAGTGTCGATTAAATATTAAAAGGCTATTTCTCTCGATTTTCCAAAACACTCGGCGCAGTGGACGTACACAAAAGACCGTAATCTTCGCGGGATGGCTAATTAGAGTGAGCGTGGCCTATAAAAGGAGGAATTAAATTTTTCCGGAACACCGAACAGAGGAGAAATATACAAAAAGACGGCAATCTTCGCGCGATCGCTAATTAGAGGCATGCTCGTGCACAAAACGAGGAATTAAATGACCAAGCCACTCCGGGAGACGTCTCGAAAAACGCTCCTCTTATCCCGGTTCTGCCAGAGACGAAACTGCCAACGAACTTCATATCTCTGCCAGGCCGGGACGAAATTCATAAATCCCGAAGAACAAAAAACTTGGCGACTCGGGAGCGGAGCATAATGCAAAAAGGAATATTCGAAAGGCAGAAGTTGCAGCGGCAGAGATTACCAGAGGAAAGTTGCCCGCGGTGGTCGCTGGGATGGGGGTGAAAGTGTAAGATGTATGGAAACGTACCGAGATCCATGAGGTGTTTCTCGCCGAATCGTCGCTCGGCGTGAACGCGAAGAAGCCCGAAAGCGAGCTGCATTCCGGTAGTGAGCAACAGGGCGAGGAAGCCGGCTGCGCAGACCAGCCACCCCCAGCCACCCTCTGGATAGAAATGCGTTCGCATGCCGGCGACGTCTATGCCTGAAGGGAAAGATTAGCCCTCTTTACGATCTCTCCTTAACTCGTTGCCTCGCTGTCCTTCTCGCTCTCCGATCGATTTTATTTCCCGTTTCGTTATGTATCATCTATGTGTCCTGCATATGTATCAAGTGTGTATCGTTGTGTATACTACGTGTAGCGCGCGAGTACGGTTGTATTGGCGATATTGGAAGTAACGTGGTACAGGGGTGTTCGAGTTGCTGGTTTAATTATTATTCTCGATTAGTTAGGTCGGTTAGGAAGTATAAGTTTGGAATAACTGGTGGATTTAGGAGAAGTCTTGGGATTCAAGATTCGAAATGGAGAGACTTACAAGAGTCCTTGGTGTGTATATAACAATAGTGTCTGGGTCTGTATATGTATATGGATAGTAATTGTGGTTTATGTTTAGAAAAATTAATTTCGTTTGTTAATTTATTTATTTATATCCTCGAAGTTTGTGAATTCATGAAGAAGGTATAAGTGTCATCCCTTAAAGGAAATAAAATGAAATAACAATTTTGAAAATCTTCGGTATTCAAGAATGTACATAAACGAATTCAAAAATTCGAGAATATATGTCTCTATCGTAATTATGAAAGTGGCCTAAATCAAGAATTCAGAAGAAACGACTTCGTCTCATATTTTAAGGTGCACTAGTTCCTTTTCGTTCACGAAATAAAATTTTGAACCCCTTACATCGAGTTCGCTACCTTGATACTTCAATTTACAATATATTTAAAGCGGGAAATTTGAAAATTTTTAAACTAGATATATTGTATTGTAATTTTGTAAATTTTTGTAAATCCAAGAATCTATATATGTCTTTATCGTAATTATGAAAGTGGTCTAACTCAAGAATTCGGAAGAAACGACTTCGTCTCAAATTTTAGGGTACCCTAGTTCCTTTTTATTCACGAAATAAAACTTTGAACCTTTACATCGAGTTTGCAGCATCGTCACGATTAATATTTCAATTTACGATGTATTTAAAGCGGGAAATGAAGAAATTTGTAAACTAAATATAATGAATAACGAGGAAAATATTACCTGGTCGTCGAAAGGTTGGCACGCATCGATGAAGACTCCTGAGATCGCCGAGCACCCAATTGTTATTCCCCATCGTGCCATCGTGGATGCTACCCTCGGTGTCCAAGTAACGCATCCTGGTGTCTGCGAGCAGAAAGCGAAAGAAAGCTAGATAACGCGGGGTGATCCCTGGCAAAGCGGCGTGACTTTCGCGTTCGATGGCCCCCCGCGCGACCGGTGCTCGGTCGCAAATTAAGAAGGGTACGCGCGGATTAACCCGGCCGGATTAGCCGGTGCTGTTTTTGCGTAATTCGACGATATATTTGCAGGACTTAATTACACCGAGAACTGGCTCGCAGATGCGACCAATGAATTTACGTCGCGACCCGCTTCGTGCCCCGACTAAGCCGGACGATAAAGATAAACGCTGTTTATTGCGAGTTCTACGTCGTTGCAGACGAACCCTCTGCGAGCAGGGCGAAACGAGTTGAAACGCGGTGGAGGCTGATTAAAATTGCGTTTCAAAGACTTAACGTGAGACGGTTTATACGTATAACTTTCGCAGGAATTATGGCAAGGCTCTGGTAGTATTTTCAGAGCTCGGAATTGCGCGAGATAGTTCTTCGGTTTCGAACGCAGCGGGGATGCTGATTAAAATGGAGTTCAAATTTACTCGTCGGTCTGAATCCGAAGGTTTTACGAGAATAAATTTTTCTGACGGCTCTGGAAGACTTTGACAGCGTCGCGTAATGGAATTTGAGAAATTTAAGTTGGGTTTCGAGAGTCTGGAATTGTAGCGGAATTGTTCGGTTTTGGGGGATTTTCGTGTTGCGTTTTTGGGGATTATCTTAATTGAATTTTGGATACATTGGCCGTGGTAAGCTCTATGATTTGGAAATTAGCATTATCCAATTGTACAGCCCTGCGGCTGTCATTGCGGAGTTCTGTGATCCTAGAATTATCGCCACCTAGTCCTATGTTCGCGAAATTATCACTGCCGGATCCTATAAGCCTGAGTTGTCGTCGCCGGAACCCACGTCTTTGGAGTCTACTAAATACCGTGAAATAGACTATTTCAATGTTGCGATTATGTTTGAATGTGTAGGATCCTAGAGTTGCTCAACTTTATCACAGAATTAGGTTTACCTTTGTATCAGAATTGCATTCTGGTAATCTTCGCGAAACGTGCGAACGGTATTTCGAATTTAATATTCCTATTTTCTATTTCTCATCCCCATCTTATTGTTATTTATTTTTTATTTCATTAATTTATTTATTTATTACTTATTAAACAGTGGATTTAAAATTTCTAATTAAATTCTACGCTGAAGTCTCCTATAAAATTATGTCCGTCGTCGCCGGAACCCATATCTTTGGAGTCTACTACATACCGTGAAATAGACTATTTCAATGTTGCGATTATGTTTGAATGTGTAGGACCCTAGAGTTGCTCAACTTTGTCACAGAATTAGGTTTACCTTTGTATCAGAATTGCATTCTGGTAATCTTCGCGAAACGTGCGAACGGTATTTCAAATTTAATATTCCTATTTTCTATTTCTCATCCCCATCTTATTGTTATTTATTTATTTTTTATTTCATAAATTTATTTATTTATTACGTATTAAACAGTGAATTTAAAATGTCTAATTAAATTCTACGATGAAGTCTCCTATAAAATGATGTCCCCCTAAATTTTTACTACCCCATGATTTTTCTATCAGTATCGTATATACGCGAAAATGCGGAAAATTCTCGATTTTCCAAGAGTATGATATCTGGCCACGAAATATTTAATTCGCGTGCAATGGAGGACTTTCCAACGTGCTGTGAAATTGATTCGGAGCAGGTAGAAACCGGAAGCCGGTGTAACCACGACGTTTCCGTCTAGCAACGTCGCGACTGACCGAGGATGAAACGAGTTGAAAGAAATGAAGGGGAAAAAGAAGAGCGAAGGGGGCTAGATAAAAGTGCTCATGAAAAGGAGATGCCAGTTGCCATGGGGTGAGAACGAGAGCCGGCAGACCCGTGGTCGAGGGCTCAAGAGAGCGGATCGATGATTTTCAAACCGGGGAAGTAACGGTGGAAAAATCTTGGAAAATGTGGTCTTTGAACGCTTGCATCGGTCGTCAGTCTCTTTACAGAGAATCGTATCAAGAATGGAAATATTACCATAGAAATGGTATAATAAATAATGCCTGCTGCACTCGTGAAAGAAATTGCAATTTTATCCTCTCATACGGTGGAAGAATTTTCAAAAGGATTTACAAAAGAATTTTCATTCATCTTCCCCAAGAAATTTTTCGCGAGCTTTCCTTCGTTAATTTCATCCCATAGATGGATGCTTCGATACAAAATTATAATGCAAAATTTTGTATACATTTTGGAAAAAGTTACGACGAATAACGTTTAAATAAATTTGCGGAATATTATCGTAAAATGGCGCGATAAATATTTCTTGGGAGAAATTAAAATTGGGTTAGCACGTACGGTGGTGGAATTTTGCAAAATTTTTCGCCGATCTATGGAATTAAAAGGGAAGCTCGAAAAATATGAAAAATATTTGAATATTCGCCGGTGACCTATTCTCTGTCAAGCTTTCTCTGCGAGAAACGAATTAATATGGCATTCGGATAGACACAGAGAGTCGGAAAGAGAGATGGAATTTCGACTGACCCGGCTACCACGAAGATTTTTATTTTCGTTCTAAATAAATCACCCGAAAAGCACGTTGTCCCGGGGTGTCGACCGGGTGAACCGCGTGCCTTTTATTCATCGTTTTATTCTTTTCGATCAACGCTCGGGCAAACAACGGGAAAGGGTAAACAAAACTGTTACCTCAGACCATCGAACGAAAGCCACAGGAAACATAGCCGCGCGATTTGAATTTCCACCTATTTTCCCGCCACCGCGACCGATTTTTTAACGTCGATTCGTATGCGAACTCACGCGAGGTCTCTGGAAAAATACAAAAAAATAAAAGGGGAAAAAATGGGAAAAAAAGGAGAAGGAAGATTGGAAAAATATTAAAGGGGTGATGGGAAACAAAGCAAGGTCGAACGAAGAGGAGAAAAAAGTGGCGGAAAAATGAGGGAAAAAAAGCGGTGAAATCGGCCTGACACGTATTCTTAATTGTGCCACGACCCTTCGCGTCGCCATCGTTGAACGTTCCCTTCCACTTCTTCTCCTTTCTCCTCTCTTAATTACAACCTACAACGCCGAAGTTTCCGCAAACAGCAAAAGTTCCCCGTAAAATTCGTCTTTACCGGGCTAATGAACTTTTAAGCAATTTAAAGTGGAATTTTTTTCCCACCGCCGTTTGCATTTTTATTGCGCCCCTTACAGCCAGCCCTGGAAAATGATCTTTCCCCGCACCAACGGAGGCTTTTATCAGCGTGTAAAAACAGAGGGAAAGAGACTTCCATTATTTGAAACATAAACTTCGATCTATACAGTGAATGGTGGAACACTTTTTCCCTTAAAAAATTCAAGAGGTATCCTCGATTACCCGATATTTTTATATATGAAACCTACCATGGCCTCGAGGATCATTTCTCAAGGAGTTTTTCTCCAAGATTCCGCGTTCAATTTTATCTCCTTTATCATTGGATTTCAGGAATGTTTTTAAGAGGTACAAGGTGTAATCAATTTTTCGATATTCCTATTCTATTTTTCATTCTTCGTTTCTTCTGACACCGATATCGGTTATTCCATCAGATATGGCAGGTTCAGTGCTAAGGATCTAGGGGATCCTTCAGTGCTAGGGGTCTAGGGTCCCCAGAGAAAACACTCGATGGCTCACCAGGTCCAGTAGCCGTATTTTCATTTACCGACGAGAATCGAAAAACAAAGCAATAATTCGCGAATTTTTTCATGGTCGTCTTCCGAGATGAAATTAAAAATAGAAACGAAAAATTTAGCAGATAGATTGAAATCGAAAATAAACGTCACGCTCTTTGTTTATCGATATATAATATAAAATTATATTATATATAATTGAAAATCAGATTTTATATATATAAAATAGAAACGAAAAATTTTCCAGATAGACTGAAATAAAAAATAAGCATCACGCTTTCGGTTTATTATTTTTGATTTTAGTCTCTCTGACAAATTTTTCGTTTCTATTTTATATGTATGTATAAAATATGATTTTATAAATAATTTTATATATATATCGATAAACCGAAAGCCGACTGAAATCAAATTATTTTCGATTTTAGTCTATTTGGCAAATTTTTCGTTTCTATTTTATATATGTATAAAATCTGATTTTCAATTTTTATGTATACACGTACCTCAAAGTAAATATAAAATATTTTCCAAATTGTTTGAAAATTGTTAATTGCATAATTGCATAATTCCGCAAATTATTGCTATTTAAATCGTTAAAATAATGGAAATTATTCTATATGGTCGTCTTTAGCCCGTGATAAATTATATTCACAGTACGTAAATAAAATTCACAGACTGTCGCCCCCAAAGCGCGTCAATCGATAAACCCTTCGTCGACAAAGGAAAATTCACCCTCGCGCGATTATTATTCTTCCGAATTTATCCCTCCATTTTGCCCCGACCCTCTGTCAAAAAATACCACGTCCATAATTAATTGCCGGTTGCCACGAACTACGAGCATTACAGTTAATTACTCCCTCGGCCGAGTAACCGGAACAAAACTCGCCTGTCTCTCGGTCCGCGTTTCGCACGCGATTTAAACCCCACCCCCGGACGATCAAAGGGAATAATTTCGTGTTTTTCCATGGATTACCCCGTCGCCGAGAATTTCCCAATTTCTGTGCGCGCGTCATCGACTCTGGACCAAGGATAATGCTCTTTTTCCGTAGCTCGGGGACGAAACGGAAGTCTGATGAACGCAGCTGGCCTGGAGAAAGAACGTGGACGAAGGGAGACTTTGCCGGGGTTGGCTGGTATTGTACAATGGCGTAGGATAGGCCGCAAAGTCGAATCGGCCAGAGGGGTGAAATATGCTTAATTAGCAGCGCGAGCCAGGGACGGAGATAAGCGCGGAGGTCGGTGCAAAAATAGGGTGGCTGATGAAGAATGGATCGGGACGAGACTCGACGTCGAAAGGTCGTCTCGAGAAATTGTACACCGTCGAAATCCTGCGAAAGGAGTCGCGACGCA